AAACCTCTTAATTATGTAATCTTCCCAACATTAATTCGAATAGCCAAACTTTTATAGAGACAACTTTTAGTGGGCTTCGATAGCTGAGCCCGAGTCTAATTCGAATCTCTAAACTTTTGTTGATGCAGAGCCCACTTAAAAGAGAAAATGTTGAAACACATAAAAATGTCATGCAAAAATACAGCTTTTGAGCATTTGTGGCTATGATTTTGAGTTGTGTTAATTACTACTGCATTTCAATATCATCAATCATCAAATGGTGGCTATTAATTTTGAATTAACCTATTTGTACAATCGTGCTTGACAATTATGGTTGACAACTTTGATATTGTCAAAATTCAAACCATTGATTTTTGAAACAGTTTTTGAAATGGATGAATGTAATGTTGCCAGTGTGAATTGTCAAATAAAATTGTACAATTAGTATGATTCCTTAATGGATTTTTGAGCCAAGGCCATAGGGGAATACAGCTAAATATTAGAAAAATAAAAATAAAAAGAGCATAAAACGACAAGAAGAATGGTCCTTCACAACATTTAAATGCCATAATGCTTATGATTTGTCTTTTGTTTTGTAGCAAAAAGTAGATTGGTTGTCGAATTAGTAATTTAGTATGAACAAAAGAAATGGGTTGTCTTGAAAATGATGGGCGTTTACGTGAGGACCATTGCTTTGTTTTGTTACGTGTTTGGCTAGAGCAAGGCAAGGTCCTTTTCTTTTCGCGTTTTGGTACAAGAAAACGATAATATGTTGATGAAATTATTTTGGGACCTTTTTAATTACCTTATGTCACTTGGGATAAGATTTTTTTTTTTTTTTTTAAATTGTGACAAACCCAATTCAATTGAGTTCGTTTTGAGTGAGATTTTACAATTATATTCCTTTCATTAGGAGTTTTCATTGTACCAAAGCAACATTATAGACACGCTAGGTCTTAGGATTTAACAATATTATAAATAAAATGGACAAATGTTTCAAATATTTATCTTTATTAATCTTGTTCAAGTTACATGCATGTCGAGTGTGTTTTGCTACTTTAGTTTTGTATGTTTGTATATTTCACTTATTTTCTTTTTAACCGTTGTCCAACTTGTTAAAATGACTTACTGATGGAAGACGAGTTAAATTCTATTTTTCATATGATATTACAACCTTTGGAAATCTCGATCTATCCCTAGTTCTTTGCTTCACTCCTCCCCCCAAGTATATATTCCCCCTTCTTTTACATTTGATTTTATTTTTATTATTTCATGGGTAGGAAATATATGCTAAAATTCTTATCCACACTTTACAGATTAGTAAGATAGTTTGAACAATATTGAAAAACATATATATGCTAAATTTAAGATTTTTATCTCTCTTACTATCTTATTATAATAGAACTTATATTTTTGTATCTTTCTGTATTCTCTCTGTCCAACACATCAGTGTATATGTTGATGGTTGAATTTCACATTTAAAATAATATTTACTATATAAAATTTAGACTATTCACCTTGATCAAATTATTCTTTTAAGATGGACTTCAAATCTTACTAACATAGGCAATGTAATGCAACAATATGGCAAAACATCGATAAAATTTCTTGATCCTGACTCGAATATTAAATATTTACTTCAAAGTTCTTCTTCTTCTTTTTTTTTTTTTTAATTTTTTCCAAAAATATGCATGTAAAGTTGCTTGATTTTTTTTATTCAAATCGAACTCAACCCACCTCTCATTATCTTATCCTTTTCATTTAAATAATTTAAGAAACGCTCGACGTCCATCACATCTTTGTAGCCTTAATTAAAAATGACTTCACGTAGTCTATCAATAAATTATTTATTTATAGGTTAGTTAATAACCACACTAAAATAACATTTGTCTCGATTCCAATATTATTATTTTATTGAGTTTTTATTGTAGATTTATTAATAAGTGATACAAATATTCTTAGTATACATTATTTACTAAAAATAAATATTATTTGATTAAATTTAAGATAAGTGAACCACCTCATGAAATCCCAAAGTTTACTATTAAAATCATTTTGTTCTTAAGAAACACAATAAATTATTAAAGGAGATTTTGGATGAAGAGTGGTTTAATAGTAATTTAAGTAACAATTAAGAACAAGTTGCAAGCCTTGAAAGATTATTTAACTTTTAAGTGGAACCTCAAGTCCATCAAGTTAAACGTGTGCAAGCAAAACGTGCGTGGGCAATGGCAAACAGCTGGCAATTAGCAGACACACATATTGCAATGCCGACGTCATATTCAAACAGAGTGGAGATTGGACAACTCCTGGCGGCGTCTTTTGTCCTTTTATTGCCACGTTGGAAATTATAATGCTACTAGTACAAAGTTAGGTTACAAAATTGATTTACAAAATACGTGTTGACAACATCTTGATTAATGATTTTAAAAAAGTTTTTGAAATCAATGACATAGATCTTGCCACGTCATTTTGTCAACACACTTTTATAAACCACATTTAATTATATTGAACTCTTATTGACCACCGTTATTTTAAGAAAGTAGAGTTTTGAATAGTGATTTCTAGACGATCGTATGATTAAAAAATAGAGAAAATTTTGAGTTTACGTATGAAATATTTTATTTTGTAAACGTGTGATTGAAAATGAGTAAAAATTAAAAAGTTTTGAAATAATGGTTATCAAATAGAGGTTGAATGGGGGGCTTCAATATCAACGATTCTATGTGTTATTGAGATCACATAGACAGATTGATAATCACGAATAACATTACTCAAATGGAAAGCATGTTTATTGTTCAACTAACTCTACGAGTTTTAATGAATGGCATTACTATAATAGAGTTGGCTTCTTGTTCAGTCAGTGGATGGATGACTTGTTGTACATTTTAAGTAACAAAATGTACCAACTGTAACTATAGTTCTTTTGCTCGAAGATCCTCTTAGTCCAATGTCGACATTCTTCTATTTTCAATTTTAACGAAAAGATGACAAGTTGTATATTTCTATTAACAAAGTTTACTAAGGTGAATATGAGTATGCATATCTTTTTGTTGCATGGATCAAAGAAACTTTGTCGATTCACAATTGTCACGTTTGTCAAGATTCAAAATTGCATTTGTTATTGTCTTGACTAGTTGACATGTTAGCCATGATTTTTCGGAACTTGAGATCCATTCCATGAATAGTCGATAGTAAAAAAGCACTCTTGCTCTATCTCATGTACTAAGTGTAGTTAGCACAATCCAAATTAATCACAGTGATCATGTGTTTCTCTTTCAACAAATATTTAAGTTCATGGCTCGTCTTAATACATTTCACATCTGCCTTATTGATTATATTTATATTACTGTCTTAAAAAGCAAGTCTACACATAAACACAGATCTTGTGAGTCGTCTCTAGCCACCAACTCGACGTGAGCATACGTATAGGACTCGAAGTTGGATAACCGATAACGCATGCACATGATGTCATCATTAGTGCACATTAAATATATGAATCACACACCTAATGACAATCCTATCAAACCATCTAATTAGGAGGAGATTTGTTAGGTTTGTTACTCACATATTTTATAAGTACGAAGAAATTAATTGAATTGAACCTGGAAATTGACCTAGACATTCCCCAATGTAACACCACAACACATTTCCCAACATAAGTGCATTGTATGAGCTTAGACAATCAATTATACTGCTGTACAAGTATCTGCGATCGGACCCCAATAAATGATTTTCTGGTCTACAAAATATTCTTACAGCTGTGCCCCCATTTACTGCAACTTACAACCCTGCAAAAATTTGCGCTATTTGAATACTTGATCAACTCATAATCAAATAGAGGAATGATATTCATCTTTAGTAATACTTGATCAACTCATAATCAAATAGAGGAATGATATTCATCTTTAGTAAGGTTACGAACAGAGTCTAATTAACGTTAATGTGACATTAAATTATAGGTAAAATTATAACATTAAGCCACTGTGGATGAATAACATTAAGCCAGGGACCTACGGTGAAATTTTTTCTATCATTCAGTCAATATTAGGTTGTTCTATTTGCATCATCCTTTTAGTATGCTCTCACTTAACACGCCGTATTAAGGGGTAGAAATTTGTTAGAATTACGATAAGTTGGTCCATCTCTAAAAAAAGATCTCAATATCCCCAAAAAGATCGATAAATCGAAAGAATATAGTAGAAGGAGAGGAGACCATTCTTGGAATCTTGGACAAATTATTGGGGACCAAAAGGAAATTTACATTTTTTTTTATTATTATGGACAAAAATTTACAGTTTTATTATCCTATAGTATTTATCAACACTTTACCATCGAAAGTTATATCACAAGCAAAAGATATGCATGACCCGATCTGATTGGGACAAACGCATCACCCATATCCATTGCCCGTTTGATCAGACCTGAAGTCAAATGACACCCCAATTTTGACTTTCCTAGTACGCGCACGTTAGCGCTAGTTCAGACTATCCCACAAAGATGCGCACTGCCTCCGGGCGAACCCGATCCGTTTTTTCTCCAAGTCATAAACCACTTCAAACCCCTGCTGCTGGTAATTTCCCAACAGCCCTGCCGGCCCGCCGGGATCCTCCTCATCTGCCACAGCGCCACCGTTCATCAGCATCATACAACCCACACGCCGCTTCACCTTCCCATCATTCTCTAAGAACTCGTAGAAATAATTTCTTCGCGGCATCACCACGGTTGAATTCCCTCCCAAATGCAACACCAATTGAGGCACATTTCTGAAAAATTTCTCATTGGCATCACCATAATAACACGGACTGAGTCCAGTCCGGTCCTCGACCTCACTCGCCCGCTTGTAAAACGCGCCAACTCGGGTATCAAACACGCTCACTACTGAGTCGTAGAACTTAGCTGGTAACATAGTGAAAGTGGTACCGGAATCCACCACCATTCCGCCGTTACCCTTTCTATCAACTCTTTTCATGCTATTGGGTGCCTGTATCTTCCTCTTCCCCATTGAAATAGCCTCCAATCCAACGCAGTAAAAATAGGGATGCTTTGGATTTTCAAGCATTGGGGTGTAGCTATAAACAACTCCATTGTTGTCATTCATGGTTAACTCATTTTTGCTTTTTTCTTCACCCGAGTATCTATGTCCCAGAATGAGTGGACTCGGTCTGCGAAGAACATGGGTAGTGTCGAACGAGTGCGATATCAAACAGTACGAAAAATAGTTACCTATATCAGGAGAATCGCGGGCTAGTTGGGCCGGCAAAGATAGAGGTCCCCGCCCAAAGCCAGCAACACCAATAGGCTCACCAAGAGCACTATGCGCAACACCAAAGGTAAATTTTTTCAGATTAAAAGAAGGTGTTGACATAGGTATCGATAAAGTATCTTCATAAAGCCTTGCAATGAAGCTTCCATCGCCATACGCGTAGTAAAAAGGTGGACAAGGCGACGATTTGCAGTCCCCTGTTTCAATTTCTTCTAATGAACATTTCGCCATGGCGCAGAGGTCGGAGGAAGGTGCAGAGGAATGGATTGCTGAACATGCACGATGTTTACAGGTGATTGGTGTGGCTGAGGTAAGATTGAGAGGGCCGGGATTGGGGACTGAAATAGGATTATACTTTCCTTCGCAGAGTATACAATCGAAAGGGTGAAAAGGAATCCACACAATGTCACTGCCAGTATCCATATACAGAGAGATAGTCTGGGAACCGAGTGAAAAGGATAGGGTGTAATCACTGCCTGGGGTGAGAGGGAGAGAAACTTGGCGGTGGTTTCGGTTGCGGTGGTGGTGGAAGCGGGTGGCCGAACGGGCGGCGGTAGATTTGAGAAGGTGGTGCGTGGTGTTGTATTGGGTTGGGGAAAGTGAGTGCGTTAATGGTAGAATCAAACTCGAATGAGATAGTGAAATTTGTAGCAGTATGAAGAAAATGAAGAAGAAAACAGAGGAATCCATTGTAAATAGAACAGAGTATTCTTAGCTATAGAACACAAGAAACAGAGTACTCTTATATATGAAAAACAAATGAAGCAAAAGGATTTGGTGGGCAAAGAAGTTTTCTTATTTCTTAAAATAATAATTCGATAATAAAATTTTATAAAGAGTAGATTCAATTTATAATTCAAATTTTTTTTTTTTTTTAAGCGTGCGCTGATTTTGACTCGATTAGAATCAAGAAAAGACCAGAAAGTTCATAGTATTAGAAAGTGGTGACTATTTGTGGATTCTGCCCCACTTTACTACACTGGAAATAATGGTTGGGACATGAGGAAGTACTAATTCTAATGTATGGAGTTTTTGGAGCTGTGTGGGGATAGGTACCACTTCTGTATATCTATTTATTTATTTATTTTATTTTTGTATCGAGTCAATTTCGTCGCAAGTCTACAAAAAACTCATTATTTGGTTGAGTGATTGACGTATAATTAAAGAAATTCATTTTCACAAGAATAATAGCGTTCTAATCGCGGAGTATTTGTTTTTATTTTTGCTTCTTGAAGGAGAACTTTTCTAAAAAAAAAAATCTAAATCAGTTTCGTCTAAAAACTCTTCTAAGCAGAAAAAGTGTTATAAAAAATTATTCAGATATGTCCAAAAATAACTTTTTACATTAAAACTTCGTGAAATAGGGAGAGTAAGATGAATTGAATGAAAAATAAATGGATCATTAAGAAAAAAAGTTAAATTGCATATAACATTTTGGCATTATATGTAGGGTTGGCGACATAAGAAGTAGGGACAAACGCGTGAAGTAAAGTGGATTACTTCGCAAAAACAATGGATCAAAATATGCAAACCATTCGGGCAGGCTATAACCAAGCCAGCCTGTAAATTTCTTAAATATAAAGTTCTATATTTATTTATATATTCTCTATGTTTTAATTG